CATTATAATAGATAATAATGATGTCCTTTATACAGTATTTTGAGTGATGACTGATGAGCAATGGGCTACTGCTTCTTAACTAAGTAAACAAAGACAAAACTACAATAGCATATTTACAGATGAAACTGACCTGCACTTGAAACCCTGAACAGTAGTTTTGCTTCTCTGCTCCACCTGTGCGCTTCCACAGTTCACTCCATTCTCTCTCTCGCATTGATTACTCTGATCCAAACCGTTTGGCAGAGGCGCGGAGAGCGCGCGAGCCAAAGCATTGCCAGTCACCACTAACCGATTCATGGTCGGCGTTAGGCTATAGGACTTCCGTTTTTATGACTGGATTCTACAAATCAGTCTGTTTTCCACATCGCGGAAATTATGTCTCAGAGTAATCAGTGCAAGTTGGGAAAGAAATCAATTAAATCTGTATGTGGATGTGTGTAAATATTCTAAATAATAAAAAAAATATTTCACAATATTACTGCTTTGCTGTATTTTGGATCAAATAAATGCAGGTTTGTTGAGCAGAAGAGGCTTCTTTAAAAAACATAAAAAATCTTACTGTTCAAAAACGTTTGACTGGTAGTGTATACGTATACCTCAACCATAAAATAAATGACCTGCATGGTTTAACTAGAATCCTGAAATGTAAAACCAGCTACCATCAGAAGCATAACTAATTCAACTATTAAGAAACAGCAAGCTCTATTAATTATACCCAAAATGGTTTATGTCATACTAGCTCATAATTCTATGATGATTAATGATCATTATTTGTTTAAACAAAGTTTCTAAAATATATTCTGTTTAGGACATTATGCACTTTGCATAATGTTAATAACAGCCACCTGTGTGTTAATTAAAATTAAAATCTGTTCATGAACAATTTGAGACCTTGTTTTTTTTATATAAAGATGGTATACCCATTCAGAATTTAAATAAATATGATTATTTTTTATAAATGTAAAAATTAATGGAAATACAATATTGGATTTATAAACATTTCCCGCTTTTATAGTGCATTTCTGTCCTTAGATATTTGTTTTCAGAGCAGCGCAGCTTGAAGGTGACTGGCTATGTTAAAAGTTTAAGAGCTTAGTTTCAAAGTTGTAAGGAGTTCACATCATCAGCATTCATATAATTATATTCTGATATACACATGAGTCAGAGCCCTAGATCACTAGAGGGCAGAATAAATTCCTGAATGATTCACTGAATGATAAACCAAAAGACTCAAACACAAATACCTAATAACCAAATAATCAATAATCATTCGTATGATTGTTACTTGGCTGAAGCTTAGCTGTAGTAATGTCGTGTTTCAATACAAATGCTGCAGTCTGCAGGCTCTTATAAGTGTGAGAGAAAATGTGTGAGTGTTTCAGTTGGTGTGTTTCCTCAGATCCCAGACAGATAGGTCAGAAATTACAGTCTTGCGCGTACGGTCTTACCTAGCCGGTTCCAAAACTGTTTTTTTCTAATAACTCAGCAGAGCAAACAACTGCACTGCTGCCTTTATTCATGACTCACACAAAAGCCATACTTTGAAATATGAAGAGTGCTTTACAGTGAACCACATGCTATGAGAAGAAGAGGAATTATTATGCTACCTTTCACTGTGCAATCATACAACACTAGAAAATATGCCTGCAATTCAATTATTTTCAGTGATTAGGAAAATACATTTTACAGGAATAGGAAATGACCCATGATCTATGTAATCTATGATTTTTAGCATGCAATCCTATATTGAAATATATTGCCCTATCTCAATAGTGATATTGCCATATATTTTAGATATAAAGCTATATAATTTTCACACATGTACATTCTGGGAGATGAAGATATAAGTGTATAACATATATAAAATCCCCATAGTAAAATATGTGTTTGTACATATGTAAATAATATATATGTGATGATTTTTTTATTTGGTATTATATGTATCAACCACATATGTCAACAAAATATATTTTATTTATACATGCACCTTCATTAAAACAACATACATACAAAAATCTGTATGTTTATACACATTTTTGTAATACATTTCTTAAATCTTTTATTTTTACTTATATAATATCAACATATTGAGAGGTTTTGGGATGGATATACATGTACAGTATTTGTATGGGCTATATATATATATATGCTAATATATAAAAATGTTTACATTTCTAATAGCTTTCATATATGGAAACATAATACATGTAGGTATGTTTGAAATTAACTTACTCTTACTGATTTAAAGTTTAAAAACGGGACAGATTTTACAGTATAGCATTATCATATAATTCAGAGTGATAATCGTTATAGTTAACATGTGCAGCTGGGAAAATACCATTCAACCATGATATTATGTAATCACAAATGTCCTTCTGTCTTCTGAACTCCAAAAACGACCATTACTGTTTGGGCTCAGTCTCTGCAGAAGAGCTGGTCGGGGGTCTAGGGGGTCTTTGCCACCAGCAGGTGCAGAGCTGCCTTGATCTCACACCCCTCATTTATGTTCCCTGGCCTTGGAGAATCAGATCCCCTTTGTCTTGACTCTTTTCACTCACCCTATACACAATGTACAAGCCCTCCAGATAAAAATCGAGGGTCATTATGTATGGAAATAAGGCAAAAATGCCTGCTTAACATGTTAATACAAAGTGTTGTTTGTTAAGGATGCTCAGTACTATTGGATTGTGTTTACTGCATCATTATATGCGGCTTTCTTTTAAAAAACTGAATCAATATTTCACCTAAATATAGAGATTTTTCCTGTGTGTTTTTTTTTTTTAAATCAAGGTAATTTGATTAGAAAGAAGGCATAATGCACACAGATATTTAGAAGAAGGGTTTAAGGTCAATACAAATGCACTGCAATAAATAAATAAATAAATACATACATACATGATGCATACATACATAAAAAATAAATAAATAAATAAAAAGTTTTTAGTGTGTTGCATTTTGAGGAATGTTTCATTTAATCAAAATGTGTGTGTTTTATTGCCAAAGAAGAATCAGCACTTATTTTTAATACAACAGACATAAAATGAAAAGAAAAGGGAAAATAAATCACAAATAGGTAGGTTGAACTGTAAGAAAGATAAGATAGTCTTTAGACGTTTGTTAAATAGGCTAGGTAAAATGTAAAATAATAAAACTAAGTAAATACTGATAGCCTATATGAGTGACGTGATTTTCTGGAGATTTTATGGCATGTATGGCACAATGAACATTTTTTTTTGCCAAGCCCACGCTAGAGTTTTACATTCAAGTCAATTTTGTATCAATAATAGTAAAATCTCTTCAGTTTCAACTCTAAAACACACGCTACTGTTAGTTTGGAAGAGCACGTGACTATCCTCTGCGGAAAACATGGCTGCGCCCTGTGCCGCTCAATGCTTTTACAGAACAGGTATGTTTACAGTTTACTTCGGGAAAAGTTAGACTTATTTATTTAATTTGTAGAGCATAAAGACTCGGACTCAGACTGTGGCAAGCCAATGACCCAAACGAGACAGTATTCGCTCACATCTAATTTTTAATAATCGCACAACTGCAGTCTACGCGGAATATATCTAACTATTAATATAAAACCCAAACCTTCCAGCCAAATAAGCGCTGGTTTACAAGCTGCGCATTACTCGGTGACAGTGTCGCTGTGTAGCAATGTAGGTAACGTTAGACAGAGCCAAATTCAGACAGAATTAACGTTACTTTCAACTATCAACCCTTTTCACACATAACGTTACAAACAATAAAACACTTGATAGAAAGTTACAAAACCATTTGTTTTAATGATTCGACATGAACACACCTCTTTACTTGTCCACTGACATTGATACTCAGTTATTTTAACGTGTAATAATGTTTCACAGTATTACTGTTTTTATTTACGATCAAATAAAGCCTTTGTGAAGAGAAAATATAGATAGATAATGAAATAAATAGTTAGTTATTTAGTTAATCTTATTTCCAAATAAAAAAGTGGTAGTATATGGTATGTGCCATGTATGCAGGGGCATAGACATAGCATGCATTTCAAACTTTTGTTCAGACTTTCATATTATCACAAACTTTGATATTTACTCCCTCCCATTTTGACCATTTGCACTGTGTCTCAATTCGTCTAACATTTATGTACTACATTTTGGCGTTTTATACAAGACTACATGAACGAGACTGCAGGAAGGCTGGACTCATGGCACTGTCTTGGAGTTCTTTATTGTTTGCTGATTTGGCAGAGTCTTTGTGGGTCCAGTAGAAGTAAATAGAGAAAGAAGCATACAACCCTCCCCGTCTGCTCAGCCATTTTTTTTCTTTTACATTTAACCTCTTAAGACCCGAGAAAAGATTTTTAGGAAAAAAAACAGTTTTTTTCATGTCTTTACATTGTTTAGAGCATAAAAAAAATGTTATTTCATTCATAAGTTATGCTATGTCCTCGGTAGAGGACATCGGGACTCAATTTAAAAAAAAAAATAAAAAGACATGAATGAACATGCATAGACAATATATTTTTTAAATCACCAGTACATTTTAGTTTTCAGGATTTATTTTTTTTTTTTAGCAAACTTTGTATAAAGATGATTCTCAACTATGTTATAACAATGATTTGATATACCATTTTTCTTTCTGCAAAATGTGTGTAAAATGGCCATAAACGGGTTTTCTCATTCTATACAATGTATCTATAAACTAAATCTAATTTGCATATTAATGTGTTTTTGGGGCAACATGTAATGAAAAAAGAAGTGTAATAATGGGAGTAATATTTGACAAGATTTTCATAATAATATATAATATTTCATAGAATATTGAAACATAATTTCGTTCCCTATTTGTTATGTCTCCCAAAATTCTAATAAACATGCTTTTAGTCCCAGTGTCCTCATATGAGGACATGTATGAAATCAACATCCTGTTTCGTAACAGAAAGTCATATTTTGATTTGAAACCCCATAACATTTTCCTGAGATGTTGATTTATGACAGACAGTTTAAAAATTAGATAGATTTAAATGATAATTACAAAATATTATCATATTTCCATAAGAGTGTCACTAAATTAATATCAGACATATCTGAAGACCAAGGAGAGGGAGTGGTCATGATGAAACATCCAAACATTTAGTATCTCTGAAAAGCCCTGAATGTGCTCTGTACAGGACATCCAGACTTAAAACTGTGGCATGTAAAATTAATATCAGACATTTTTTAAGACCAAGTAGAGGGAGTGGTCATGGTGAAACATCCAAACATTTAGTATCTCTGAAAAGCCCTGAATGTCCTCTGTACAGAACATCC